AGGAGAGAAAATCGCTTACTTCAGAGAGCGACAAGGAATGGGAAAGAGAAAAGGAGGCGAATAAGGAAGTGCTTGAGTGGGAGCTGAACAAAAAAACTGAACGAGGGATTCCAGACGAATTGAATGTAGAGCGACAAAGTGAAAACAGGGCAGAAATGAGTTTCCATAATCGTCTGCCTTATTTGGGCGTCCGTGTGCTGCCTTCGGAAATTCAGCCCCACCCACTTCAACCCTTATCTGGCCTTTCATTGGAGCAGCTAGTAGTAGGCTCTGAATTCAATCAAACCCCATTTGCTTTTCTTACATCTGCGCCGTCCGAATACGCAGAGTCCGAATCAGGAGCTAGTGTGTCTGAGTGTAGCATTTCTGCAGCCAGTATCTCTGGTCTCTCAATGTATCTGAATGAAAACCTTACCTTGAAAACCACACAAAGGGCCCCAGGGCCTCAACTTCCAGGCCCCTGGCTCAAACCCAGCCAACAGAGGCTCATTAGAGAGGTTGAGAAAGGTGGAGGAACAGAAACATGATTTATGTTGTAAAGGCAACAATCACTATTGCTTATACTTAGGTTTAAAGTCGTGGAAGTAACGACAAACTTTCGTATAGTGGCATATATCTGATTAAAATGGATTTTCGAAAAGGAAGAAATGTAGGACAGGGACTTGGTAAAATATGTTGGTAGTTGATTGGATGGAGGCAGATCTGAATATGAGTTTGCAGCTGATTGTAAGAAAGGGGCGGAGCTTAAGTGGACGAAATCTAGTATACGTTACCAGTAGCAGCAATATTGACAATGAACCATTTTTTACCCGCAAAATTCCACTGAAATTTTGCTAATATGACTGTACCTAAAGAGTATGTTTTGTTTTTTTTGACTTGGTCAGTAAGCAATTTACATAAATTTACATTTAGCAGGAACTTTTATCCAAGGTGACCTAAAAATGCCAAACAATATTCATAGTACACAGTGCCAAGTATGACGTAGTTTAATGCAGAACCATCCAGAACATGCTTGGAAACACCATTGCAACCATCCACAGCAATGGAGCATCATGGTGGTGAGTTTTACACAGGGAAACATCACTTAGAGGACATTATTATATTTTTGTTTTTTCCTGCACATTTAAGCAGTTTTTGAACACTCCCACTCCAGCTTGCTCTCTCAAGTCTTTCTCTCTTCTTCTCTTCCACTTTGTCCTCCATAATGAAAGTCTGCAGTTATCAACACAACATCTTTTACTTTTGTGCCAGACTGTTTGTATAGTATGTCGACTTTGTATGCAACAAAACTATCATGTGAAGGGCCAAATATTCTCTTTATCTTTATAGCTTGAGTCCAGTTTTAACCTTAAGCACAGCCATTTTTCTCTTCGGTTCTGCTGTTTGAACTCTCTTTAATCTTATACAATGCTCCATATAAACCAGTGAAAGACTATATGGTGTACATTTCATTAGCCATTAAATTATATATTCAAATAGAAAGGTTTGGGGGCAGTACTTTTTTATTTTTGATATTTCTATTCATTATATTTCTATTCATCAAAGCATCCCGAAAAAATGGTATTACAGTTTCCACAAAAATATTACGCAGCACAAGTGTTTTTAGCATTATTAATAATTAGAAATGTTACTTGAGCATCAAATCAGCAGATTAGAATGATTTCTGTAGGATCATGTTACACTGAAGACTGGAGTAATGATGCTGAAAATATAGCTTTGCATCACAGGAATAAATTACATTTTGAAAATATACTCAAATAAAAGTAGGTTATTTTAAATTGCAATAATATTTCACAATACTGCTGTTTTTACTGTATTTTTGATTAACCATGCAAAGTATGAGACTTCACTAAAAAAAAAAAAAAAACATTTTAAAAATCTTATACCGACCTCAAAATTTTGAATGATAGTTTAGCCCAAGATTTAATGTTTGAAACATTAACTTTGAATAATTTGTGCAACATTATGAAATAAGCATTATCCAGATCTCTGCTAAACAGTTTTTGAAGGATGATTGCGTAAATTAGCATTCTTGTGAATGATGTGTGTACAGTTTGTAAACACTGTTAAGAGGAGATATATTTGTCTCGCTCCCAAGAGTCCCCTGAAACCATTATGCTTTATTTTTATGCATTTGTTCATAAATTATTATATTCATTTTGTGCCCTCTGGGTCTCTGACATCTCAGGGAGCAGATATATAAACTCTTTTAAGTTTTTGTTTTTTAGTACGCCCCCTATACACCCTCAAAGTGACTCTTACTGCTGCCTTGGTAGCGAAAGACTCCTCCTGTCTGCTGACCTTGGCCTCTGTGACCTCAGAAATCTCAATTAAGTTCAAATTAAATGTCACATGATTCATATTTTTAAAGGTTTTGCTTCTGACATGGTTGTATGCCATTTAAAGGGAATATAATATATTGACCCATAACACATTTCTTGCAGCAATCAAAGTATGATTAACACAAATACAAAGATTAACTCTCACTCCAACTTCTGCAAAGAGAAATTACAGTATATATTAATTTCAGATGAAGTATCTGTGAAAACTTTAAATGAGATTTAACTATGAAACATGAAGTGTAATTTATAGAAAGAACAAAGTAATACTTCATGAAATGGTTCTCGTACTGCTCTTGGCAGGTTTGACCTCGTCAACCAAAAAGGACTGAATGTTTGTACTGAAAATATAAACTGGAGTTTGCATTATTGAGTGGCGTTGTGCCAAGCCTGCAAAACCTCTTTAGTTTAATGCACCCAGGGTCTTTATCTTTATTGATGAAAGCTTGTTAGTAAACATGAGAGAGAGGTTGACTGTATTATGCTCTTGTTAACTAGCTTGTTAACTGTAGATATACTGATGATATTTTAGCATTTAACCTAAAAACTGTGCCTAATACTTATTTTCCTTGATTAATTTTTGGCTGATCATTAAGTTCCTAATCTGTCATCAAACCAAAACACCACCCAAAATGGTTCGTTCTGTGTGTCATACTCTACCAGAATATACGCACTTTTAAACTATGCATAAGATGTTGCCATTTTAACCCACAGCAGATAATTGGGACAGCAGTGTAATCTGTGCAGCCCCAGCAGGTCTGGGATCAGTTTGTTGAAGTCAGTCTGGTGTTGGTGGTCCACACATCTTTGAACATATCATAATATTCTTGAGCCAATGCCACACTAACAAGTTCAACACCTCTATATTTATTACATGTTCAATCTGAAAGGTCCATTTTTGAGTCTCACATTGTCTTTATGTCCATACTAATGTCTATGGCCATATGTACCAATTGTAAATAGAAATAAATAGAAATATATTATAATTATATATACATATAATATGTTTATATTATGATTATATTGTTATAATCCATTGTAACCCAAATGCAGGTAACAAATTATATAAGAGTTATAATAAAGATTCATGTATCTACCTGAGATCAGTTGTGGCCTGGAGTGCTTTTTCTTGCTTCCTTGCTTGTGTGTGTGTGTGTGTG